ACACCCTCTGCGTCTACTCTGCGCTGCAACTATGCAGGGCGCGCACTTTCTTCATATACCTATGACAACGTTTGTTTTACCACCGTAATTCACGTATCCTTCACAGCCGAAGCTGTACTCAAACGGAATGTTTTGTAGTGGCTAACAAATCTCTCCTGGGTATGATAATCTACTTATGAATTTGCTTTCGTTGGCAGGAGTGTATTTGCTGAGCCTTTGCCTCGTTTCTTCCAGCGCTGTTTTGAGGAAAGGTACGTAACTGATATGTGGAAACACGGGATGATTACTCCTATTCACGAATGAGCTAGTCGTTCTAATCCAGCCAACTACCGCCCCATAATCTTACTACCGGTTCTTTCAAAGTTCATTGAAGCTATTATTTCTGACGCGCTAACCGCCTACTTGGATGTGTTTAACTATGTTGCACCGGAACAGCAGGTATTCCGACCTAACCGATTGCGTACCACAAATCTACTACTAGCGCGATGCTGCTGCTCTGAAGCAGTAGACTGGCACAGAAGTTGATGTAGTCTTCCTTAACTTCTCAAAAGCGTTCAATCGGTTGGACCATAACCTTCTGCTCCTCAAACTCTAGACTTTTGGCATTAGTGATCCTCTCCTAGGACTGATCAGAAGTCTTATCTACACTGGCACTTGAAAGTACGAGTGCATGGATCGCTGTTAGATCCCATTCGAGTTGAATGCGAAGTATCAGCAAGTTCGTTACTATTACCGCGATTATTTTTGACGTATATTAACGACATCATTTGCCTCATAAGCTCAACCTGCCTTCTTCATACCGATGACATCTAGGTGTGGACAGCGGTCCATACACCATACGATATCACAGTACTTCAAGCTGAAATGGATAGGGTATACGCGTGGTCAACACAGAATCTACTTAGATTCAATGTGGACTAATGTATAGTGCTGTACCTGTGGCACAAGTCTGTGCATTCTTACCAACTCGGCAACCAGGAGCTTCAAACGTCTTCTGGCGAAAAAGATCTTGGCATTTTGGTCCAGGTCGACCTAAGAGGTTCGAATCAGGTTGAAACGGCGTCTGGGAGGGGCATCCAACAAGTGGGCCTCCTGAGGTGTGCATTCGGACGATTCGGCCCTTCGCTTTTTCCACAACTTTCGGCTCGTACATTCGGCCACATCAGGATTATTCAATATTTGTCTGGCAGCCATCGCTGAGGAGAGCTCTTACCGCCTTGGAGATACTCTAACGCCGGACAACAAATGATGTCAATGGGCGGTATTATTTGCCGTATGAACGAAAGTTTCAAGTGTTCGGGGTCTTCAGCGGACGGTATCGGCGATTCCGCGGGGACCTCATTTTGACTTTGAGTGACTTTCGAGTGATTTCAACCACACGTGCCACTACTTGCTAAAGCTCAGTCACAAAAGCTAATTGATTTGCCATCATCTTAAGCTGGCATAGCAGCATATTACTTTGGAATGCCTTCGGAATTTCGTTTCCGTACGCGTTTTCCGTACGTGGAATGCCCTATCAGCATTAGTCATATGTGCCTCCACGCTGGCAGAGTTCAAAAGCCGATTTGGTCGTGCACTCATTTCGCTGCACCATCTTAGATGACCCATTATCCATGAATAAACACAAGTGTCCGTAAGTGAGTTCACTGGTGGTCACAGCACAGATTTCGTTCCACCTTTCTCACCTCCTGTATGTGTACACCAGAATGAGATACGATTTTTTAACAACATCGCGTTTGCCGTCCTTTCTTATGGATTTACCTTGGATTTACAGTCTATACTCGGTGTGCTTCAATGAGTTCACTGGTGTAAACACAATTTTGCTAGCATTTTTATATATTTTGAAGTTTTACCATAATCATCCTACGGGACCTGTTAAACATTAGGTTTTTACCCCATAAAACCAGTGTTCCATTGTATTGTAGCATATGTGACAGAAGCACAGGTTCGTGTAGGTCATGTCGAAGTGGGACTAGCTAGGTGACCAGTTATACTTTTTACGTGGTCTCATCCAATTGTCTATTTAGCGAAACAGCATTTTTCCACATTTTTATCCAATTCTGCTTATTGCCGATGAAGTGCTAATTGCGTTATTAAACCCTGGTCAGACTATTTTCTGCGCTCCAATAATAGGTGCTTACATTACGTGAAGTCTACTTATAATGGCAATCGTAGGGACACATCAATGTAATCTCTTTGCGTAGTTGTACTAGTATACCTCTTGATAAGTCGAGTGAAAGATGACACCTGCTGCGCTTAACGGGCGATCTCCCCCTACGTCTTAGTTGAAACCAACGTCAGTATTAAATAAAATAGGCTGATTCCCAACTTACGTGGTGCGCCATACGAAGACCGGTGTAAGAAACTAGGGCTATACACCCTAGGTTATCCTCGACTGAGGGTTGACCTCATCATGACTCACCGGATATTACATCTGGGTGATTACCTGATGTTGAGACCACTGCTTCATCTGCGCAAACCAAGCAGCACACGAGGACACCGGTATAAGCTTGTCGTACCGGATTTGAAGCGGGTCGCTCACCAACTCTGTTTCGAACGCAGAGTGGTGAATGTATGGAACGACCTGCCCCAGCACGTAGTAGAGGCAAACTCAGTGTCGGAATTTAAGAATTTCCTGGACAAACACTATGCCGACGCAAAATATATAGAGCGGAACCCAACATAACGGGTATTTGTTTATGAGTGACGACTGACGCAGCTACACAGAGCATGCTCTACTCGCTGCTTCTAAACAGTATTCAGTATTCAGATACTAAATACCTATTATGCACAGCAACACGCAGTTACGCCTTGATACACTTCCTCTAACAGAGGCCAGCAAATGGTTTATGTGAACAAAGCAACAAGTTGCCGATACATTTGGAACCTTCGTTACGTGTGGACTGCCACCTGCTATCTCATTTTGGGCCGCGGCTTACTTTGAAATCTATTTCGGTTACTTCACCTATCGGTACGGTGTTTGAACCGGAAAGCCGTTTGGTATTACTTGCTACCAAGAGTTCTAAATTATTCACACAGATACAATTAAAAGATGAGATCGTAACTATGTGACAAGCATTAAGCGAGGCGCCTGCCCTTTCGACATATCAAGACATCTAACGACATAGCCTGTATCCCCAGTTCTAGTCATTGCTGCGCTAGCACTGCCTGAAGACTGTAGATAATGACAAAATAACACCTTTTCTTTCAGTTTTCTAGAGTGTGGAGCAAATTGACTGTCTAGAGAAAGAAGTGAGATTTGATTCATGCACTATAGAAACATGGAACGCGTACCGGCAAAAGTAACCACAAACACGGTGTACGACAACTGAGGTATTAAACACAACACACCACTGTCTAAAGCTGAATGGTCGAAACAAGGACAAAAATGCTTGTGTGAAGTGACATCGAAGAGCGAACAATAGCTAAATTTCTTCACACGGAAAACGGTCTCAATGAGTAGAATGAATGATATATACTTCAAAGTAAATCTTACTCTGGTTAAAGTTCCTGTTTTGTGGTTGTCACATTGCGTGTTTTTCACACCCAGTGGCAAATATTTTATATCTTTTTCAGTCTGACGATCGAGTCTGCCTACGAATGAATGGGGCAGTCTGCATTTGCTGCAATTGCTCCTACGCACGAAGGCAGCGACGAAAAAATGTCCACTGGACATTTGAGTAAAGGCTGTGGCACTCTACGGCCATTACCGTACGGGTGCAGTGTTCCTTGAAATGCCACAGAATAATCCTACGACAATAAAATGCTTTCAATGATATTATTTGTTTAATATGACTGCTTTAATTCCCCGAGCACCGCATGATGCATTAGAGATCTCACCGATGACTTGGCGAGATGCCAAGAAGCTGTGCTAAAATCCACGTGTTGCTTACAAGCGTATTTGCCAATCTATAGATGCTGGTGAGCTCGCATATTTGCAACATCGTGGGGTCGGATGAAAACGTATCCAGTTCGGTTGCGGCAAGTTTCCAAGATGTAGAGTATGATATACTATGTAAGTATCATTTGTCCAACGACGACTCGGACTCTGCCATGTTATTTCGGAGCTGCGATGACAAGTATGGAAGACTAGATTCTTGACGCGACTAGTGATCGGATATATTTCCCCTTTCCCATGCATAAACACAGCTTAAATTACTTTCAGCTATAGTTCTGCTTCTTTCGCTGGTTTATTACGACTAGTAATTTTTGTTACTGCTTTCACTGGTTTTTAACCTCACTAATGAAGTCAAAATAGGCTTTATGAACCCGACTGGGAAAATTTTTAGCATGTTACCCAAGCACTAATGTGTTGAACTGAAATCGGGCCACGGCGCCTGAAGAAATATTGTGTTTTCTCACCTGTTTGGGTTACGTGGACTTCACAATAACCTACAAGGGCACAGTAAGATAAACTGTAAAAACGTAAATAACCAGCAATCTGAGTACGGGGAGGGAACAGCCGACAGGACAGCTTGCATCAACCTTCAGACCGATCTCAATGGATCGATCATAACTTACAACAAGTGGCACAGGTGATTACAAGCCCGTGTTACCAATCGCTGTGGTGCTTTGCTTATACTATTTATAGAGTACCAGCTATACGAAAAATGTGCCAAGTGCAACAGGTCTTTAAAAGATTGAATCACGAAACCTGTCCACGTTTAATACAGAGAGACTTGATGAGTGCACCTGACATTATCGAAAGGGTGGTTGCTGAATCGGATCAAGGCCAGTGAAATCCGTTCTAGTCACGCTTAATCAAAAAGTCACTACGCTTTCGAGTGGACCTTAAAGTGTCTGCTTCGTTCTAACACATCGTATATCTTCCCGACTCCTGCAGTGAGACAAGCTTATCAGCTCCCTTCTCAGTGACTATCATTACTTAGCTAGCAACAGTTGTATTCGGTTAAATCGCTATGCGCTTTACTTTTTCGTACTTTATACTAACACGCAAATTATACAAGGCGGTTAGACACTGACATACTTTGTTTCTGAAGGGGAAAGTTCTTCATTCCTGAGCGCCAACACAGAGAAGACAGATCTGGATAAGCTGACGGATGTCAATTTCAATTCCCCAGCTTCGTTGCAACAACCTCCTTTTTGCAATACACCGAGCCCAGTTGCTTGTTCGTCACCGTCTACAGCATCCTCCTTGTCTACAGTTTCTTTATTACAAAGTGGACGCGCTCGTGAAATTCCTCCTGTATCAGGGGATCGGAGTTCTAAGCAACCAAGCCACAGGAAGAAGTCGCACTGTCCTTGGTCGCCCAGCACATCTTCCTTTTTAAATCCGACGAATGCGTCTGAACAAAAATACGTTCTCTTGCAATCTGCCTTTTCGAGTTCGGGTACCCCGTGCAATTCAGCATGTCAGTCTGGTACGCCTACTAATGAAGCCCCATTGCAAAGGACCGGTTCCTTGTCTACAGGGCAAAACAATATAGCATGTACTGCAACTGCCAGAATTCTGCAACGACCACCAAGAATCGGAGTTGATGATTCAGCCCTATGTCCCTCGGTGAACATGGGCTACGGCTCGGCAAATAGCTCAGTTCAATGTAACCTCAAACCAAGCTACTCTCATCGTCGCACCAAGTGCAAGCATATGCATAAATCATGCTCCCGCAGTCTTAATCCGTCAAGGTCTGACATAAAGCAAACTAACTGCGCTGTTCATCGACCACGTCCTTTTGATTCCGCTCCATACATTCAGTCACCACGGTTAGTAGAAGGAGACACGCATGAGTGGCTCCTGCAGCACCCAATGAGCGCAATTACGAAAATGGAAGAAGCTCAGCTGATTCGGCATTCAAATTCAAGCGTGACATCTTTGCAAGAAGTTCAGGCCATTGGAGCTAAAGAATGCACCTCCCGTTCAAGAAGACCGAACTATGATGACTGGGAAGAGAACCTGCTTATAGACAAGGAAAACACGAGCTGCGTAAGTATTTGTGGGGCCGACTTTGTCGGATACCTGCATCAATTTCTTAGTTATATTGCAGTTTGATGCACGAAATATTGTCCCTTGAATACCAAGAGTTATACGCTTTCTTCCTGTGGCTAACTAAAAATAGTTGATTAAGGTTATGTAGCACGAATTTTTCCAAGATAACACACATCATTGTACCGGCTTAAAAAGGATTTCTTTTGAGCCACCAGAATTATGGAAAAGGAAGGTCTCTTTTAATCGTACTTTTGCAAACGGAATGAACAACCGAATCGCTTGGTATCATGTGAATCACATAAGGCGATAAAATAGTCGTTAGAAGCCGTGCATCATAACCAATCCTCACCCCCTTATACTGCACAATTAGTTAGTTTTTAAGGAAGACGGATGTGTTCTGAGAATCCTAACGATGCATGTAGAAAACCAGGCAACACGCAAACGTGGAAGAACTTACTCTGTCCAGAAGTCAATTCTAATGGACCCTTAGCGTTTACTCTCAAGAACTTACACCATATGGACACTGTGATGATGTTTAAACCCTTTAGTTGTTCACACCTCTTGGGTTATCCACGGCAAACGAACAAACAACGAAGCTGATTGGATGGTCATTTTAAAGCGCGTGTTGTGTGACGGGATTGCGACGCGCAATCTCAAAATGGACCTTGGAGAATTAGATGACTGTCAGGTAACTGACAAAGGAGGCGGATACTGGATATTGACCGCCTAAAAACACTGCACTCCAAAACCGGTTTTTAACTTAGTTGATCTCATCAAGTAATGATAGCAGGCAACAAAGCTGGGGCCATCTGTTTCTATAATTGCGGTTCAAGTGATCAAATCATCCGAGTTTCCACAGTAATTGATCATTACCTTGAAAAGTTGCCCGTCATGCCTCGGTGGTTTCGGTTGACCTCCCAATAACCCAGGGTTCAACGCCCGCTATCCCTACCTGATGGAACCAACTGAGTTAGATGCCGATCGTTGAGAGTAGTGAACAATGGAGCTAAATAAGAAGAACAGGTGATAAGAAATTCTAGCCTGACAAACTGTTGTACACAACCTGGCTCCAGTGCTATGGATGTAGAATAAGATGATGTTTTTTTGTATGCTCATAGTTGTCGTTGCTAATGCACTGAGGATAGAACCGTCTTTGTCAATGGTCACCTACCTGAACAGATAGGCTTGAGCCGGGAGGAGTCATCAGCAAACTCTGTTTTCAGAGGGACTATAGTCGTTTATGCTGCACTGATCCTCTCTTTTGGATTATTCTTCTCTATCCACTCTCCATCTTCTCGCGACGTTGTCACGGTACGCTCATTCGAACTCGGATTACCAGCCCTACACAGTGAGCTATCATACGTGGAATTGTCTAATAATAATAATAATAATAATAATAATAATAATAATAATGTGTCAGCTGTACGCAGTAACGATGTTTCGCTGCCGTGCGACCACGACTGTGAACAATGAACAATGATATATTACAGGTACAAAGTGATTGCTTTACAAGTCCCGTAGGATGGTTGAAGTGAAAGTAAACATAAGTGTAAATCGTCAGTTTAAGCGTCTAGTGTATTCAAGTGACCCTTATTCATAGAAACGTTGTAGAATGTGTACTGAATTTTTACTGTAGAGTAATATGGGAAGTAATATGAGTAAGACATGTCTTAAGAACAAGAGAAATGACCAACGCTTACTCGTGCGCCGCTTTCTCGGACTGGGGTAAACTGATGAATGCAGTTGTAATATATCCGAAACTATATTCCACAACAGCAGTGTGTAAATAATGAAGCACAAAAGCTGAGAATAAGCACGGTTTTTTTCGCGTTTGATTGACGTGGACATCGCTGATTATATAGCGTAATGTAGGTGGATAAGCGAATCATCCAGACGTCTTTTGAATACCGTTAGCGTGGGGGAAGAAACAACGTATGTGGGAAGAGCGTCCCAGTGTTCGCCTACACGAAGGGAAAAGAAATTCCGGCGGCATTCTAACCGGCTGTGTTGTGTGGCCAGCTTTAGCTGGTGTCCTCCGAGTGTTGTATTGATATTCAGCTTTAGTAAGTGACGACAACAATGGTTTGGATTCCTCAGGATCATATAAGTCATTATCAAGTCGCCACGCAGGCGTCGATATTGTCCACTGTAGACCCCGAGGGTTTTCAGCCTCAATCGGTAAGGGAGATGAAACAGGCCCTCTACGTTCTTGGTCGCCCTTCGTTGTGGCAGTTCAAGAGCGGTAAGGTCTTGCTTTTGCCATGGCTGTCAGGCTGCGGGCTGCGGACTGAGTATACCGCGAGGACACCCACTCCCACGCGGATTCGAACACGTACCACAAGATTACTTGACAAGCTCGTGGAATTACCTTTTACGCTTAAAGTCCGTACCATCACTAACTACTTTACTTGTCATCCGTGGTTGAGCGCAAGCGAATAACTCAATCTCATTGAATTGATTGCCTTTCTGTGTGACACCGTTCGTTGCAGAACACTTGACGCAGCTGAAAAATCCTAAGCTCACTCCAATCTGGCGTTTATCAAGGCAGCTGTGAAAAAATTTTTGATATCTCAATCTGTGTTCAGCGTTTTGTTCAGATTCAGTTAGCAGATTCCAGTCAATCACCATCCCTTGTGACCTTGTCAGCCAATGCGCCTGCATAACCCATGTTGGTTGGCGCCTAGGATACCAGTCGGTAATCAATGACAAGTAAGAGACTTGCCAACTACGGGACAGTATATAGAACATGCGGGCGACTGAACCCAGCGTGTATTGTGCAGGCTACAAAAATAGGAAACGAATCAACAGGAGCGAGAAATGGTGCAGCAAAATAATCACCAAAACAAGTTGTGTCAACGGAAGTGCCGTCGGTAGAATAAGTGGACGTTGCGAAGGTTAAAACAACGGTAACATGTAATGTTTAGAAATCCTAAAGGAGTATGTTTTCAGATACACTACAAGGGCCTCCCCGTAGGAGGTTGAAGGATGGAAGCCTTCGATGAGGTTGTTATTGGGGGAAAACGGTAGGTGAGGACAGGTACCGGTAGTAGCTTGGAAGTGAACAAGGACTTCCAAGACGGGGTGTGTAGCAGAGTTCGCTGGGTCCAGGGTTTTGTTATTATTTATGATGATCGTGTGGACAAGAATGCATCATCGGTGGGCCGTCGGAACGGGCTGGTCGGACTGCAATAAAACTGGATAGTCCAGTAAATAGGCCGACAAGACATTCCTTCCGCTACAGACCCGACGGTGCAATTGGGATGTGTCACTCTCCCCACCACACTCCAGTCCACGGTCCTCGTCCCTCGAAGAAATCCAAGCGTCCTCGTCGGTAACGCGTAGCCAGGCATATGAGGGCCAATCCGGTCGTGGCCGTCTGCGGTCAAGGGTGACTTACTGTTACTTGGGCAAAACTCCTTGTTAACCTGAAGGGAGACGGCGAATCCTGGTGGTCTCATCGTGCTTCAGAGATGGAAATGGCCGCTGCCCTTAGTTACCATTGTAAGTTATTCCGGATGATACGCGAAACGACAGCAGAAGATCTGGTGTTAGTGAAACGATACGTGACGAGAGTGGACATCCTGTCCACAGCTTGTCAAAACGATTGGAGCATTGGGCTGATCACTTTGAAAGGCAATTTAATCGTTCGGAATTGTTAGATTTCTCGCCGGCCACTGATCGCTCCGCTCCCTGGACTGTCCCTTTGGACCCACCCTCTCTCTCAGAAGTCGAACGTGAGATTCGACTGTTGAAGTTAAATAAATCCGCGGGACCTGATGACCTACTTACAGCCCTCTTCAAATTCAGGGGAACTGCCATTGTGGATGATTTATAGGAGTTACTAGTGCAACTGTGATAGCAGAAAACTGTCCCAACCGACTGGAGCCGCCTAATTTGCAAGGGTGGCTCACGATCGGAATGCGGTAACCATAGAGGAATCAGTCTGATCTCCATCGTCTCCAAATTGCTTGCCTCTGTCATCCTTCGTAGACTGACTTACACTCGTGAAAGCCATATTCGTGAAGATCAAGGCGGCTTTCGTCGAGGTCGTGGCTGCATTGACCACATCTCCACTTTGCGTCAGTCGTTGGAGCACCGTCACATATATTGGCGGTCCACCGTCGTCGTATTCCTCGATATCATAGGTGTATTCGATTCGGTGAATAGACTTGCACTTTGAGACTGTCTACTCAGGAAAGCTGTGCCTGAGAAATATGTAAATATTATCCGAAAATTATAGGCGCGTAGCTCGGGCAGAGTGAGGGCTTACGGCAAGCTGTCGTCGCCCTTTAATATCTCCAGCGTTGTGAGACAACGATGCCCGCTGTCACCTTTCCTCTTCAACTTCGCTGTTGATGAAGTCATGAAAATCGCGTTTACAGGGCACAATTTAGAAGGTGTGAATCTGCTCCCAGCAGAACGACTTCTTGACTTGGAGTATGCTGACGATATTGCCCTAATCTGTGACAGCTCCCAGACGTGCCAAGCGGCACTGAACAGATTAGCACTGTCTGTCCGTCACTTCGGACTTTGCTTTGCACTATCGAAGTGCAAAGCGTTCCTCCAATATTGGCCTGAACCGCCTCCTTCGCTGACGCTTGGTAGGGATCAGCTAGAAGTCGTTCAAAAATTCAACTACCTGGGAAGTTGTATCAGCGCCCGTGGGATTGAAGATGAGATCACGAACCGTATAGCAAAAGCTCGAGGCGCTTTTGCTACCCTTCGCCACTTATGGCGCCGGCGCGACATCACTGTCCCCCTGAAGGGTAGAGTGTACAATGCAGCGGTACGTTCGACACTACTGTACGGTTGTGAAACCTGGCCACTTAGATCAACGGACCTAAAGAGGCTAGTTACACTCGACCACCGGTGCCTTCGGAATTTAGCTCACATCTGGTGGGAACATCGAGTTAGCAACGAGCGTGTTCGACGTCTTGTTTATGGCACAGGGAAAGGAACTGAACCGCTCAGCACCGTTATTTCACACACCAGGCTCC